AGGGTGAGGAAGAGGGGTGGTGCAAGCCACAGCAGTCCTAACACCTTTATCTCCTCAGCTGCCTCCAAGGTCTCTTTGGCCAGAAGCGGAAATGTGATTTCTCTCAAAAGTAAAGGAAGAGAGGAAGAAAGAGAAGCGGGACAAATACAAAGAGCAAACCCCAGCCAGATGTGAGCTGCCGAGGAGCCTAGAACGCTCCTAGCGCTTTTTATCCAAACAGCAGCCGTAGAGGATTAACTGTGTGTGTGCCCGGCTGGCTGGCTGGCTGGCTGGCTGGCTGGTGGGCTGGCTGGCGCTCCCTTTTTCTGGACACCCTGGGGAGCTAGCACAGGCTCGGAGGGGATGGGGACAGACACTTCTGTTTATCTAAAGGTCTTTCCAGATGTGAAGGTGGCTGGGAGCCCAGGACAAGGATGTCCCACTCAGGATAGGGAGCAGCAGAAAGGCTGAGAATCTTAAGTTAGTTGGTGGTAGAGAAGTTGACGTAGGCACATGGGCAACCCTGAGTCCAAACAGTGGCCCTTCTGAGATGTGCTTTCCAGAAGGACGTCTACTGGCAGTCCAGGGACCAATGGGTAGGTTTGTAAAAGAATGGCAGGTTTGGTGTTCATGCAGGCACGTACTAGAAGGGAAGGCTCAATTGTTCAGTTGAGAGTCTAGCGAGCCCTGTGAGGCAAAGGTGAGCAAGCAGCCTCCAGAAGGCTCAAGTCCTCCATGAAGCCCTGGAGTGAAGCCCTGGAGTGCAATGCTGGGCCACATGTTTGCTCAGCCTATGCTAGTCAGCTCCGCTCTGGACATCTCTTAATCTTACACACATGCCCTTGTAAGTCTCCTCCCATGGGGATCCTGCCCCAGGCTTCTCCAGAAAAAAATCCTTCCTATTCTCCATCGGCAAACACTGAGTCAGAAGGCTTGCTCTGCAGTGTTATCACAACCGGTAAGAAAGAGGGTCTGAATGGAGAAACTGCCCTGGTAACATTAACATCAGTCTCTGAGCTCTCCCCCCCGCCCCCCGGCTTCCCATCCCTCCTTTTCTCCATAGGCAGGAGATATAAAATTAAAGCTGCTAGTTTGGGATATCCCAGGCAAAATAAATAGGCTTCACTTTGCTATTCTTTGCTGTGCCAGCATGAAGAAAGACCAACAGAATCAAAGGGGAACGGAGGAGAGTATGAGCCCAGTAGCCCTCATCATCTCGCCCCAAGGCCGGGCATATCAGTAGAGGGCAGATCCCAGAACAGGCAGGGACAGATGGAAGGAAGAGAGGGCGGATTCTGATGGTAAGGAACAGCCTGTGAATTCCCACAGGCTTCTCCAGAAATTCCAAATCCAAATGCCAACCCCATGAATGCTCTGGCCTAGCACACTGCTTAGCACGTATCTAAGGCTGAACAAAATCGCATTCTTGGTTATCAATTAGGAAAACACATGGATAAGATTCTGATTCCTGTGAGTGACGTGAAGCTTCCCACCCAGCACACGGACCCACTCTGTCTCCTGTCACTCTGTCCCCCACATCCTTTGCAGTACAGATGTCAGGGACAGCAGCCAGCAGAAGCAGAAAGACCACTTAACCCCTGCCAGGCTGCTGTGGGGACAACAGAGAGCCTTGTGAAGGATCAGTGTAGCAGTACAGCTTGCTGGGTCCTGCCCAGAAGGCTCAGCTCAAGGAAGCCCTGGCTCACTGAAGGATTCCTAAAAAAAAGTTGGGCACGTGGCTCAGGAGAGGGAGAGGGGTGAAGGCAGTGGAGTTGCCCCCACCCCACACATCCGAGATGGCCACACTCTCTAATGAAATTCTGAGATACCAACTAGAAGGCCAAAACACAGTAGGAAGTCCTAGAAACACACAGGGCGACAGGCAGCTCTGCACAGCTGGCTCAAGACAACATGAGGGTTTGTACCCTGGCTCCATGTCTTTCCCTCGACCCAGCCTGGGGAATGGCAGCCAAAGTCACAGGCTTGGTTCCTCATGGACAATGCAAAGATGAGTCTCTGATCTGTAGTCAGCTGGGCCACATGTACTTGGAGTAAGATGGAAACCTTTCCAGAAAGCAGCTCACCCAGGGGGGTGGGGCAGCCCGGACTACGTGACTGTTCTCCAGGGCCATAAATGAAGGCCATACAGTCTCGCAAGACAGCTCAAGCCAAGTTATACTACCAGGTTTCTGTCAAACTTGGGAGAGAGCAAGGTTTCAGATCTTTTTTTATCTTTGGAAGATTTGGGGTGGGAATTGGTTGGTCTGTTTTTGCTTTTGTTATTTGTTTAAGTTATATGTATTGGCCAGGTGTAGTGGCACATATCTTTAATTCCAGCCCTTGAGAGGCAGGGGCAAGTGGAACCCCTTGAGTATAAGGCCGGCCTGGTCTACAGAGCAAGTTCCAGGCCAGACAGAGATACATAGTGAGACATTGTTTCAATAAATTAAGTAAACAAACAAGCAGAATTACGTGTGTGTGTGTGTGTGTGTGTGTGTGTGTGTGTGTGTGTGTGTGTGTGTCTGCCACCAGGTGGGAGTAGGCAAGGCTGGCTGGCCAGCAAGTCCTGTCTCTGCCTCCCCAGCACCTGGATTATGAACCCCTTCACCACACTTGTCTTTTTTTTTTTTTTTTTTTTTTAACATAGATTCTGGGCTGGAACTTGGGTTCTGGTGCTTGCAGAGAAGCACTTACCAATTGCTTGAGTCCCTTCTTCTTTCTGGTTTTTCTTTTAAGACAGGGCCTTTCTCAGTAAGCCTGGTTGGCTTCCTACTAATAGCAATCCCTCTGTCTCAGCCTCCCATTTTCTGGGACTACGTATGTGCACTGCTGTGCCTGCTGTATTTGGGGAATTTTGTGTAAGCAGCCCCACCCCTGAAGTCTCTCACATGATTAATAAACAGGTTGGGGAAGCAGATGGAAAACGCCAGGATATCCGTGATAACTACTAGTATTGTAAGTATAACTTCTCTCCTTCCAGACTCTTAGACTGAGAGCTCGCATCTCCTAAGGCATCTAACGGGGCTTGTTGATTTTCTTCGGGGTGGAATCTGGGCGGGAAGAAGCGTTGCACTAGACACAGTAAAGGGAACGTGTGGCTTCCCTCGACGCCTGAGACCCAGAGGGCACAGAGGGAATTCCAAGAGGTTGAAAGAGAGACGGAGTGTGCCTGAAGGGGGTCATCACCACCTAACCGGACAGGCAAACAGACAAAGGGACTCACAAGGCCAGACCCCAAAGGCCAACACACGCCAGTGTAATAGAAGAAATAAAATGTGTCACTGAGATGGACAGCTTACTAGGCTCCTAAATCCCTTTGTCATCAACTTCATTTCTGCTTTAAAACTGTAAGAAAGACAGGAAGTTTGGCAAGACAGGGAACGCTTTGTAGATTTCCCGGTCTCCCTCCATGCCTGCCACAGCACCCCAACCAACCAGATCCCGACTGTTTTCCTCATAGCCAAAGCCTTCCCTCCAGGGCTCAGCAAGGGTTAGGGTGAACCACACCAACAGCCTAATAAATGAAGCCCAAGTCAGCAGCAGCGCCGTGGTCAGCAGTGCCTGGGTCAGATGTCATCAGCCGTGAGTAGATGGGTCTTCCTGTCAAGTTCCCCAATGATCTGTAAGCTACTTACTTCCGTCCTGAATTCCCTAGGGGTGGTACCTGCCCAAGAGTGTCTGGGCCAAACCATCAAAGGCTTCCTCCATATGCCAAGTGGTTCTCTCCTCTTAGACCAGGGCAGCTCCTGAGAGAAGGACATGAGAGTCACTGAGAGTCTGCTGCAGCCCACCAGGAGGGACACTCTGTGCTCTGACACACTGTGGTGCTATGTGAGTGTGTTTATTTTGGTGTGTATATGTATGTGAGTGTGTATGTGGTATATCTGGGTTGTTTTTGTTTCTCTCTCTCTCTCTCTCTCTCTCTCTCTCTCTCTGTGTGTGTGTGTGTGTGTGTGTGTGTGTGTGTGTGTGTGTGTGCGCGCGCGCGCGCGCGCCTGCGTATGTGTGTGTCCAGATGGGTAGAGGCTGGGGGAGGATGCTGACCACCCACTACGTCATTTCCTTTGAAAACTCAGTCCCCATGCTTGTCCAGCAGTGCCCACTCCCAACCCCCCTCATTGAGTCATCTCCCCAGTCCTCTGTTTGGCAATTCTTTCCTCCTCCCAGGCCATGCCATCCCCGCCGCTGTTTTCTGATTGCTGGAAAGGCTGTGAGGCCTCGGCTGCAGTAGGGCGACCCTGGGCTCCCGATAAGCACAGCGTGTCATTTAGCAGCTCCATGGCGTCTCCCACTGGGGCCCTAACATCCTGCCAACCCAGCTATTCTGGGCCCCGTCTGCCCAGCGATCCCACAGGCAAAGGCTGGTTTTTGCAGACTTTTGAATTCCATTCCGAAGGGTAGTGCGACAGCCAGGCTCCCATTGGTGGTGTCCCACTGCCAAGAGGGGTGTGGAGGAACCTCTCAGAGATCCGCAGAAAGTGCTGAGAAAGGAAGCCTGGCATCCAGGCCCGTCCCTAGACACTGACCCGAGCTCGCGGTTCCCGCCTGGCGCCGCCTGCATTCTGGGAGGCTCGGGCAGGTGGAGCTCGGGATTGGCAGCTGCAGGTTCGGGATCTCACAGCCTGGAAGGAAACAAATGTAAGGGTAAGCTCGTCCCTCTCCAAAGGCCAGCACACCCCTACGGTGGCCATTCACATTCCTCTCGACTTGCATTCAGCCATTTAACCTCCCCGTGCCTTAGTTTCTCCATCCCTATCGACTTCCCCTGTTTTGGTAATACATGTTTTCAATTAACGCAGAGGCCAAGGGTGAACCTGATGTAATATTTTGCCGGAAAAATAAAGTGAGAGCGCCCCCTGGTGGGAGGCACAGTCCTAAGCGCTCGATTAAGAGGAGCCTTGAGAGAATCAAAGGGTTGTTCGTGAAGGATGTGTCATCCCTGGTAGGAGCCACGGGGACCCGGAGCGGCTGGAAGGGGGTGTGTCGGGAGCAGAGAGATCTCTGAGTGAGTGAAGGTCTGAGTGGATGGGCCTTGTTGACACGGGCATGCCATGTCAAGGACCCTAACGCCTCAGGCCGGTGGAGCCGCAAAGCTTCCCCAGGTGAGGCTCGGAGGCGTGGCTGAGGCCCAAGCACAAGCCCTTGACCAGTGTGCACAGAAACTAGCAACCGCTGCTTCCTCCTGCGGTGTTCACAGCCTGAGACTGCTGGCCTACAGAGGCCTGCTGCAGAGACTGGTTGGTTAACTCCCGCCCCTGTGACCCCTGCTGCAGAGACTGGTTAACTCCGGCCCCTGTGACCCCTGCTGCAGAGACTGGTTATCTCCCGTCCCTGTGACCCCTGCTGCAGAGACTGGTTGGTTAACTCCCGCCCCTGTGACCCCTGCTGCAGAGACTGGTTATCTCCCGCCCCTGTCCTGTAGGTGATTAAACACACCGAGGCGAGGCTGGGATCGGTGCTGTAGTTGGTTCCACTCCATCAAAGTGCACCCAGCCCAGCTGACATCCGTTCTTGTGTGTGTGTGTGTGTGTGTGTGTGTGTGTGTGTGTGTGTGTGCCTGTCCTTTCTTCATTTCATTATTACACCTAGTTCAGAATGGGTTCAGAAAGTGCAGAGCGGCACCCACTAAGTGATAACCCAAAGACATGGTGTAAAGTCGTTTGAACTGAATGAGGTGGGGTAGAGAGCCCCCTGGAAGCAAAACCTCTGTCAGCCTTCTTCAGCCCTCCTGTCTCCCCTCCTCTCTCCCCACGGAAGTCCAGCCATGAAACTCAGAAACAACACATAAGCTTCCCCACCTCTCTGTGTAGCACTTGGCCATCCAAGTGCTCTGGCCTACAGAGTACGGAGACTAACTTAGGTTGAGTGGTCAGCCCTAGGTGGGACATCCAGCCCAACACTGCTCCCCACAAAGCTTAGGGAACATTGCTAAAGGAGGGTGGAGAGAATACAAGAGCTGGCGGAGGGGAGGAGCGCTATGAAATGCTGTCTTCCAGCTGGGACACAGCTGTTGCACTTACGAACTCACCACAGTTATCGTTACCCACAGGATGGAGCCAGTAAGATCAGCGCCCCCAGCAGGCAGCACTAAGTATGGGAGGGAGCCGGAAGTGGGTATGATCAAGATACATTGCGTAGGTGTTTGAAATTGTCACGTAATACATAAAGCATACTTTTAAAAAAGTTTTTCCTGTAGGACTGGAGAGATGGCTCAGGGGTCAAGAGCACTTGCTAATCTTGGAGGGGACTCTGGTTTGAGTTCCAGCAACCTCATGGAGACTCACAACCATCTGTAATTCCACTTCCATGGGCTCCTGCTCCCTCTTGCAGCCCCCACGAGCACCAGGCATGCGTATGGTGCACATGCGTACAGTGTCCTCAATAAGTCTTATAAAATATATAGAAATATATAGATTTGTGATCATTAAGACTGAGCTAGCGTATAAGAAATCCTAGTCAATTGGCCAGCAGCATTGTAAACTAATATAAGACTCTGTGTGTTATTCTGGGCGCCCATGTGGTGGCAGGGCCCAGGTGGATGGAGTGAAGACTCGTCGTTACAGAATGGTGTCAGAAGTGGGATTAACCCCACACTCTGAGGTTCCCAGAGGAAGCGAAGAACCTGCCGCCACAACCCGCCCTGTGAAGTCGCTGTTCCGCATCAGAGCAGCTTCCGTACACTCATGCTGTCCTACGCTCTTGTGAGTTGGACTCTGCTCCTGAGAGGGCCTGCAGCCCTCAACAGTTCTAGGGGTTAGGATTCTCACCGCCTCGAGCCGCCAGTTGCCTTGAGCCCCCTTCCCGCAACTAGTCAAGCAGCAGCAGAACCCGGGCAGCTGGCGGTAGTGTTACGAACTTCCAAGTAAACTTCACAAAAGCTTAAAAAGGGATTTTGGAAGCAAAAGAACAGAGACAAGCACAACTTCTTGGTAGCAGCATTTTCTCAAGTGGTCTCTGTTTTGCTAGAGACAAGCAGAAACTCGAGCGGTTCCTTGAAGAGAGGTTTCCTGACTCAGCCTAAGTGGAAAAAACTTCAGGACTCTTTTTAAGAGGCCTGGCTAGCTCAGTCGGTAGAACATGAGTCTCTGAATCTCAGGGTCATGGGTTCGTGCCCCACGCAGCTGGCAGTGGCAGTGACCACATCTCCAAGCTGGCAGCATGCTGCTTGATGGCAGCATAGACCAAGGCTGTAAGCACAGCTCTCAGTGCTAGCAGTGAACATACCCCCCACCAGCCATCTTGTTAAGACAGTGGCTAAAAAAGCCGCCACTTTGATTTTAGCAGTGTTGTTTAACAGTTAAAAGATTGTGTGGCCAGAAAAAGGTAAAGATTTACAATTAAAAACAGATGAAGAAAAATCTCTAGAGGTTTACAGTGTATTTAAAAATATATGTAGGCTTGTGAGAGAAAAGAAACAGGAGGAAATAGAATAGCTGGGTGTGGTGGAACATGCCTTTAATCCCAGCGCTTGGGAAGCAGAGGCAAGCAGATCTCTCTGTGACTTCAAGGCCAGCCTGGTGTACAAAGTGAATTCAAGGGCAGCCAAAGTTACACAGAGAAACCCTGTCTCATAAAAGGAAGAAATAAAAGTAAAATAAATAAATAAATAGCCACGAAAAGATGGAAAACACAGAGAGTCTGGATACTATATGCTATATTGCTTGATTGCCGAGGAAAGAGTTACAGCTGCTAAAATACATTTGATTATAAGTGCTGCTGAATTAATCCAACTTATACATTTTAAAAATGCTTTGACTTTAAAATTTAAGTCTAAGGACAGGCTACTTGGGAAAAGATTTCTTCCTTGTGTTTTCACAGAAAATGAAAAGCTGTGGATTCCTTCCAGACTAATATGGTTTGATCAAGCAAGACACCCTGAAGCAGGGACCCAACAGCTGAGATGATGCAGTCATAGACAACTACAGCCAGGATTTCTGTTTTATCATGATTCCCATGTTATGGACATTGCCCTGAACCAGCAGGAAGCAGTTTGGAATGAACGATGTCCAAATTCCCAAATATTGTTTAAATGTTTGTTTTCATTTAAATGGGGTTGGTTATAAATGGTAATGAAAACCCTTCTTTTTTTAAAAAAGATTTTATTTATTTATTATGAATACAACATTTGGCTTCCATGTATATCTGCACACCAGAAGAAGGCACCAGATCTCATAACGGATGACTGTGAGGCACCACGTGGTTGCTGGGAATTGAACTCAGGACCTCTGGAAGAGCAGTCAGTGCTCTTAACCTCAGAACCATTTCTCCAGCCCGAAAACCCTTCTTTTTTATTTAGACAGAAAAGTTGGGATGATGGGGGAGGTCCTTCTGTGTATATATTTGTCTTATTGGTTGATAAAGTACTGTTGGCCCATAGGAAAGCAAGATAGGTGGGACTAGCAGTCAAGGAGGATTCTGGGAAATGTAGTAGAGATCCAGGCAGGAAGTGAAATAGCAAGCAGATTCAGAATATAAGCAAAGGCAAGAAGGAAGTCTTTCCTTTTCTCTTCCTTTTCCTCCTGCTCTCCTCTGAGGAGCCGCCATGTGATCCTGGAAAGAGGATACCAGTGGAAGGTGTCCTTGATAAGTCTTATAAAATAAAATATATAGATTTATGATAATTAAGACTGAGCTAGCGTATAAGAAATCCTAGTCAATTGGCCAGCAGCATTGTAAACTAATATAAGACTCTGTGTTATTCTGGGCTCCATGTGGTGTCAGGGCTCGAACAGATGGAGTAAAGACTTATAGTTAAAGCTCAGGGGTCAAGAGCACTTGCTAATCTTGGAGGAGACTCTGGTTTGAGTCCCAGAAACCTCATGGAGACTCACAACCACCTGTAACTCCACTTCCATGGGCTCCTGCTCCCTCTTCCAGCCCCCACGAGCACCAGGCATGCGTATGGTGCACATGCGTACAGGTAAAACAGCCATATACAAAACAAACTGATCAAATCTTTTTTAAAAGACTACATGCATACATACATACATATATACATACATACATTATCTTATTTGGTGATAGGTCACATGAATTCATCCCAGGAGTCTTGCCTCACACCTGACAAGAAGTATTGCTACAGTGAGAGGCCAAGGAGACACTGAGCACACATTCCCACCAGGCCCTCCCACTCAGTCTATCCCTGTCGGGTCACATCCCCTTTGCCCACTTTTATTTACAAAGTTTCTTCTTCATCAGGGCCAAGCATTAGAGTAACAGTCCCGGGCTGAAGGTGGAGCTCAGTTGGTAGAAGGCTTGCTAAGCTCGCCCAGAGCTCTGTGCTCCACGCCCAGCACCGCTTGGACCAGGTATGGTGGCTCAAGCCTGTAATCCCAGAGACATAGGAGGTAGAGGCTGGAGTAACAGAAATTCAGGGCGCACGCCTTTAATCCCAGCACTCTGGAGGCAGACACAGGAGGATCTCTGTGAGTTTGAGGCCAGCCTGGTCTACAGAGCTAGTTCCAGGACAGCCTCCAAAGCCACAGAGAAACCCTGTCTCGAAAAACCAACAAAAATAAGAAAGAAAGAAAGAAAGAAAGAAAGAAAGAAAGAAAGAAAGAAAGAAAGAAAGAAGTTCAGGGTCATCCTCAGATATGGAGCCAGTTTCAGGACAGCCTGGGCTACATGTTTCAAAAAACAGAGGCTTTCCTGGGTTCCCTGGATTTTAGTCTCTTCATCTCTGAAGGTTCTCCTGTTTTAAATTAAGATTCAGTGAATTTGCCGTGCTATTATCTTGCTAGGGAGTGTAGGCTAGCCCTGTGCAGGATGAGGAAAGTCAGCTTGCCTTTTGTGATCCTCTGGAGGCTGTGATGAAGTCTCCCACGAGGCAAAGAAGAACGAAAATCAAGCCACACCTGTTTGTGCTCCACCGAGGAATCACTGCTGACCCGAGGAGGGTCATTCCATGGGCCAGCTGCTCCAGGGGATATGTGCTCACTCCTGCATGAAGACAACCTTTGGGCCAGTAGTTTTTCCTCTAGGAATTTAACCTAGATAGATTTTATAGTTGTGCTCTAATAACACAGGCTTTCCCCTGAAGCATTGTTGAAATATGAGATTATAGAAACACCAAAAGAATATTTTAGGGTGTAATAAAATAACTTCCTTATAGTCTTGGGTAGAAGACTATACATCATAAAAATCTCGATAGAATCCCAATTCTACATGTTCAAAGCAGTTCTATGCAACATCCCTGTAGGTGGGTTGCTGGCGGGCAGTTGCAGGGTTGAGTGAAAGGTTTACAAAGGGTGTGAAGGTTTACAAAGAGATGATGATAAAGAACTGTTAAAAAGAAAAAAAAAGTCTACCAGAGCAACCTATTACCCCCCCCCACAGAGCTGTGCATCTATGGAAACATCATTCTGATAAAAATTAGTATTGCACAATGGCAATGGGGGAAGGATGGATTCCTTCTTAAAGAGATGTTATTGTAGTCCAAAAGAGCTGGGCATGGTCTAAAAGATATGACAGAGCTGAGCAGATAAATCAGTTGGCCATGGGCTAGCCTTGCAAGCACAGAGACAAGAATTCAACCCCCAGAAGTCATGTTACAAAAAGATGGGCTTGGTGATGCATGCTTGCAATCCCAGTACAAGGGAGGCAGAATCACAGGACTCCTGGCCAGCCAGGCTAACGGTCATGGCCAGTTCATAGGTCATCCAGAAACAAGAGGAATGACGCCTGAGGAACAACAGCCAAGGTTGTCTTCTGGCCTCTAGGGGAATGCACACATGTGTGCACCTGTGAACACAAAGACACACTAAGGGATTATGTGTATGGTGTGTGTGTGTGTGTGTGTGTGTGTAAAGCACCAGACATGGTGGAACACACCTGTAATCTTACTCAGGAGGCTGAGGAAGAAGGATCATTGCAGGTTTGCAGCCAGCTCAGGCTAGACAATAAGACCCTGTCTCAAGCAAAACAAATCAGATATTAATGAGCTTATATATGATGTGTGCCTGCGCGCACGTGCGCAGACACACACACACACACACACACACACACACACACACACACACTTGTGCACACGACTCTGTAATCAGGCAAGGAGAGGACATTTGGTGCCGCCAAACTGGCAAAATGAAACTGCCTGCCGAACACTGGGACTGCTATCCATCTACATCAAAGTTTTATTTCATTTTATAAAAGTTAAACTTGGCAGAACTAAGCAGTGTATTGTTGAGAGCCACACAGCTGAGTGCTAAGATTGCAAAGAAAGGCAAGAGAATGAGGAGCACAAACTCCTGGCCCATGTCTACCTTTGAGTGTGTAAGGAGGGGAACAGCGAATGGGAAAGAATACGCAGAGTGCTTTAAAAATACCGAGAGTGACCTGTTATTCCCTAAATGGACAAAGCGGTAACAAAGGAAATACAAGAAGAACGAGGCGTGGTTGGCACCCGGTTTGGTCTGACAGGGAACATCAGAGAATTCAAGAAAGGTCTGTCTCCCACCCCAAGCACAGAGGAGGGAACTCAGCAGCACATGGCCATTTTTACACGTAATTTAGTGTATGTTCTGCCGTCAGTGTGTCCTACAGGACAGCTTTCAGAGGGATCACAAGAATCTATCAGTAACCGTGGCTTCTGAACAGGAAGGGTGGAAGAAAGGGCTGCTTTTTCACTGTGTGCCGTTTGCGTACTTTTGAATTCGTCCACTTGTGCGCCGGAGATGGGGCTGAAGTGCAGGAGACAGGGCTGAGGCTCCCTGGCTGATGAGGGCCTTTCTCGAGAGTCCTGCTTTGTATGCTACCACTGTCTGGGACAGAACTCAGGGCTAGGCAGGAGACCGGGAAAAGAGGAATCGGGGTCCACCGTTGGTCAGGGCTGTTGACTGCAGTCGGTTACGCGGACACACAGCCATCCTCATCCCGTGCAGGACTCTGGTCCTGGCTGTGGAGCCCGGACGGCACTGCGCTGAGGCCCGCTTGCAAGAGCTCGGAAGAGGGGCTGAGAACTAGGGCGGCCGGGCGGGGTCCGAACTTCAGAACTTCCCGAGAAGAAGCTGGGGAGAACCAGGCAAAGAACCCCGGAGCCTCAGTTAGGGAATGACAGCCAACTCCAGCCGTGGAAGTCCGTTTCAGCTTCGGGCCCAAGCGCAAAACTACAACTCCCAGCAGCCCCGCATCCAGCGCGCAGGCGCAGATCAGAGACGGGGGTGGGGAGGAAGGGAGTGACGCATAGAGCAAAGGCTGCCCGGAAGACGTGGCTCTAGGCCGGGCGG